TTTCCATAAAATATGTAACAGAAATTTAAATTATTGAATACAACCCTGACCCATCAGTTCAGTAATAAACATAGCAAAGTCAAGAAGAGCAGTGATAAACAAACTCTGATAAGTCCAATTCTTGGGAACAAATGTCATCAAATAATTCTTTTTTCTACATGTTACGATATGATTAAACTTCTGAAAATTGTTTTGAAAGAACCAAGAGTCATAGTTCTTCGTGACTAACCCAAGACATGTGCATTAAGCTGTTTATAGTTATTTCAACAAAATTTCATCATTTCATGTCAACTGGACTCAACCACATTTGAATATATACCCCTGATTTGTAAGAGAATCATTTCCGATCGCTACAAGCGATTTGAATGAACTTTTAATTGTCTTGATATATAAGAGGGCAGGTTATTCGTCATCAAACATGACTTCTGAAATGAATGTTCATCATGTCAAGATAGTCCTGAATGCGCTTTACATTTTTTCTTCCGAAAATCGTTGTTAGCTGTGTTCGTTTTCAAATTATAGCGATTTAACTAAACACTTGCATTTTGTATGATTTGATTGTTTCAATTGTTTGATTTATTCAAGTTGGCTTTGAAACAAGAACGCATAGAACGTGATCTGTCAATCACAATATACAACATTGTGATATGGTTTTGTCATTTGAGAAACGGGTTATAAGTTTATTTGTCAAAATGCATCTCTAGTTTTTATATCACTTTCGTCACCTGAATTATGTTCCAGTTATGGTTAACTACTTTCAAGATGTTTTTCAATTGTTGCTCAACATGATTTATTGCCTATTTCCCTCTTCCACAATGGTGTACAAAAATGACGATAATTTAAAAACCAATGAAGATAACAACGATTCTCGAAACACATATGATATTGAGCGCAACTAGCACTATCTTTCGACATGCTGAACATTATTTTATAAGTTTATGTCCGACTCAGAGATGTAGAGTAGTGTAGAATTGCATGTAGAAACCACCTGTGCATGAATCACCCTGAATGTTATCTTCAGTCATATCTTATGAGGATTATCCTGCCCTATAGCATTTTGTTCAATAATGTATTATCAAATCAAAACAAGTCGTTTCTCATGAGTGTATAATCGCAATGATGATTGCGCTATAGAACTGCTGTTAAAATTTTCAACGCTCAGTTTCCTGCCAATATGGCCAAATACATGATCGAACTTGTCAGAGAATTTGTTGGAATTGGCCCGGGGGACCATTGAATGGTCTCCAAATCTATAACACCACTCGACTTCTCCTCATTGGGACATCTCGAGATCAGAGCTAATGCAACTAAGCCCAACGAATAGAAGATCTATGAAAACGAATTGAACCAAAATGCCTGCAGATAACACCAGAAATGTAACAGGCAGTTCGTGAAAAATTTGAATCACACCAAATTATACGAATGAGGTGCCATGTGAAAGAAGATTTGATGTCCTTTGTAGAGATCACTCGACCCATTGTTTCATTCGAAATAGAGAGGGTACATCTTCTCTAGAGAGTTGAAGTAACAGTGTTACATGTATAAGCGATTTTCTCAAAAACGTGTTCGTGATCAGTTTGAAATGGTGAACCCACACTTTATCCGATTTAAACCCCTAAATGTGACATTGTTACTTTCGCATCTAACTATCGTGAAGATGATTCTGAGTATCAATCAGGATAGTCCCTACTACACTTCCACTTTGATGATCGATTATCTTATACCAAAACTATATGTATAACCTGCTGCTCCTCATGAACTGGAATTCGTGAAGAATGATATTCCATCAGTTTGAACTAATAATGTGTAATAGTATATTACGTAATATGTGTTGTAAGAAGAATATTCGCACGCACGTAGCCGCGGAGCGGCGAGTGCGCAATTCCATGAGTGCGTAATTGCTTTACAACACGCATTACGTACTATACTTCACCTACTGCCATATAGTTCATCAAACAAGTTCAGACAAACAGTCAAAATTATAATTCATGACAGTTATGTCATCCGCTATTGGCGGCGATTATGCGATCATGACTGGCGGAATAAACGAATACTGTGTGATGTGTTTACCGTGCGTAAGGAGCTATTCACTAAGGCTGTATCTCGTGTGTTCTTGCCTACTTTCCATAGTAGCCGTAGGTAAAATTAATAATAATATAATGAATTGAACACGTCAAGACATGTCTTAAGAACAGGTTGTTTTGAATTCCATCCCCACCATGATAGCCATATTTGGGTTGAGTTGAGCATTTAACACAATATATTCCATTGTCACTTTTTTCCTGCAGCATAATTGTGTTCACTGGGGTTTCGTCATCCGGCCACCATCATCATGTTATTGTTTCGCCATTGTCGTCATTTCGGGTTTTTCAATTGAATAGGTCTCATTATTACATTTTCAATGATGTATCACAATTTGCCATTATTTGCAAAAATATAGAAGGATAAAAAACTGTTTTATTCATAGTATAGCTAGCTGTCCTTCAAATTTTCTCTTTCACTTTGATCCTTTGATCGACCTGTCACACTTAGGTATTGATAGTTCAACTATTTTGCAACCTTACTCACATATTTCCTTAAATCATTCTTTTTTCAAATAGAACATGATGACTAAACTTCAATTGAACCTTGTTTGAAGAAGTTATCTAAGTTTTTCCTTCAATTCTATATCCCCGTATTCTAGGATTTCCAAATGAACCAAACTCGATGAAATTTTCAACTTGTATATATTTCCATGTTGTTGTCGTCTTTCCGCAGAAAAGTTTAATTACATTTCCGATGTTTCTATTACTCTGATTCGATCATAGTTGTTTTGAGTTTTTATATCTCATTTCATCCATTCCTCGAAGCCATTTTCTGTCAGGAACAGTGACAGGCAAATAATTTCCTACAGTGTTATTACGTGTGAGAGCAAAAATTTCAAGATTGGTGATTTCCATTCATTTTAAATGCCTAAAGCTTCAAATTCCAATATTAACTTCATGGAATTTTATCCATAATGATGTATTATTGTTATAAAAACAAATGTGCCTTTGCTATTACGCCACTGTTAGCAGGGCCTATTATTGATTCAGTTGTGCCCCAAAGCCCAAGCAAAACTGCGGGCCCCTTATATTCTATATGACTTTCCAATAATATTTTCAATGGTTACCTACCTCTGACACCTCCAGTTTTTTGTGAAAAAATAATTATGAAAATTGCATTCCCAATTAATTGAATCAAGAAATGTCTTCAATTATTGTACGACGTTCAAAAAAAATTTTTAATATTGAAAAAAAAAGTAATTGATATTTTGCCGAGTATTTTTCTACTCACTTGATACTTGATAATTTCATGGAAGTTCATTCATAATTTTTTTTTATTCGGAAGTGCTCGCGAAAGGTTGGACCTATGATCCCGTGGTGGAACTGCGAGCACTAAGGAGGGACAAATATCGATGGATCCTCCTCTTGAAGGTAAATAGATGGTAGTTTGCTGGAAATACATCTGTGGGTAAAGAATTCCACAGTGAAGATGTCCTTCGAAAGAAGGAGACCTCGAAATATGTTGTTCTAGGTGTTTCAATTTTGACTGCATATTGGCACAGTTGAGAGAATCGTGAGACTTGAGCCAGCCGCGTTTGGCGAACAAAGGTCATTCCAGGGGGGACAGCTGATGACAATTCAACAGAGCATCGTCCATGATATTAGCGATAGAAGAGTGACAGGTCTGCATCGTCTCTCCGATGTTGTAAAGTTTGCAGTGATCTTGTCAGAGTTGGGTCATTGATGAGCCTAATGGCTCTTCTTTGAACCGACTCCAGCAACCCCAGGGAGTGTTTTGGAGCCGATCCCCAGACGTGCGAACAGTACTCAAGGGATGGTCGAATCTGGGCTTTGTAGAGTGTCAGAAGCTGTTGTGAGGTGAAATACTTCTTCGCGCGGAAGAGGAATCCAAGCTTTCGAGAGGCAGCTCTGGCTATATTGGCAACATGGTCATGCCAAGATAAACTGTCAGATTGAGATGTGATATTGTTATAAATACGAATGTGCCTTTGCTATTACGCAACTGTTAGCAGGGCCAATTATTGATTCAGTTGTGCCCCAAAGCCAAAGCAGAACTGCAGGCCCCTTATATTCTTCAGGAAGTTAATAATATTTTCACTGATAACCTCTGACACCTTGAATTTCTTGGATAAAAAAGTTATGAAAATTTCAATCCTAATTAATTATGTTTTCAATCATTGTACAACGTTCGAAATAAATTATGATTAATGAAAAAAAAACGAATTGTCATTTTTCCGAGTATTTTTTTACTCACTTTTAACTTAGGAAACACATCTATGATACCATTCACTCCCAATTGTGGATTTGAATACTTGTGCGAGCACCACATGAGTTCACATGGTGATCTTGAATGGGTCCAACCAAATATTTGATTGATTCAAATGAACATTTCCTCATCATCACAGTGCTCATTCGAAGCAAGAATTAATTAGTTTGAAACAAGAGAATGGTATTATTTTGACCTCAGGACTATGTGCTAAGATTGTGTACTGACCTTTCAGGAACACCCTATATACATTTTGTTAACAGGAGTACTCCTGATAATGATTCAAGGTAATTTTGCTGAGTGATTATGAATGATTTCAACGCCACCGACCCTCATATAAGACTATTTTCAGTGACAGCATGCAGGATATATTTCTTGAAATGAAAGTGAAACATAATTCAACTGCATTATATTTCGAGCATGTTACACCATTTTCAATTTACAAATTATATCTAATAAACTGATGAAAATGATAGGTGATTAGTGGACACGCACGACAATCACGCTGATTGAGCCCTGCCAATAAATGTCAACAAACTCATCACCAAAAAAGAGCTGTTCCACTGCATGAATCTATCCATTGAATTCCTATATTTCCAAATACTGGAAGTGAGTTTCTGATAGAAAGGTATCCATTATCGATTTCGTGAAACTACGACGACTGTCATTCTTCGTTTGTTTTTATGATGATTTATTAGTGTTTGATGAGACTTCGATGAAGAAGTTGTCAAAAGAAATCGAGCTACGTTCCTTATTCTGCTGGATATGCTAGTAAATGTTGTGAGCCTGATCTTGTTTTCAGGAATATATAGTTTACCGTCGGGTGAATTGAGGGGAGTAGCCGAAAGTAACAGATTCGATGTGAGTATAATAACTTGAATATCATGAAGTTCATGCAGGTTTATGAAAATAACAGTTTTTTTATGAAGTTCATTTATAATGAAAAATGTTACTAGTGTCATAGGCATCACTATTCTCGTTTCATGGAAACGCGGTTCAAAGATGATTCCTAAAATACGTCAGGTTTGCCAATTTAGATTCAAAAAATTGTCGATAACAATATATCATACACATTATATCTCAAATCATATGTCAATGAGCATTCAGCGTAACTGATGGTGTGATGGGGTGAATTTGTACAACCCTATAAGCATATTCCTGAGTAACTGATCGATCACATAAAGAAATGTTCATTCTGTGCAAATATATCTATTCCATCATCAGTGCCAAACTTGCAACTGAGGACAACTGTGTTTGATCCATGACTTCATAGCCAAAGGTAACGCTCTCATAGTAGAATGTCCCTTGAGAAACAAACATATTGAAAACACTATTTTCAGTGACGAGTAAGAAGTTTGAAAATTTTCAATATCAAATCATCGAATTTGACTGACAGATATTTGATTATTTCAGAAGAATGATAGATATGCCTGCAACGCAGGTGTCATTCGTGTTCAAAACTCTGATTTTAATATAATGTAATATCTTATCAATATTGATTCGTCCTTTTCCTTGTCACAGAGAAGAATAAGGTATTATACTCAAGAAAAATATCAGATTTTGGCTCATGGTTTCTTATCTTCCTCCGCTACGCGTCAAGAGACAACACAACTTGGAGCTAAAATCGACTAATCTTTTCGCCTGTATAATAAATAACCATTTCTGACTCAGTGCGAAAACCGGAATTGAGGCCTCAACGTGAGTCGCATCTCAAATCGAAATTTTTCACCGACCATAAGTTTTTTATTTTAAGTTCTGGTTCCCACGAAAAGGGATATCCTGTAATGTTCAGAGAACATCGTGAGAACCAAGGGCAATAAGGTAGGAATTGATGTTCTCCTTAAATTTCCGGAGGTTATATCCCTCGGGAAACACCTTCCTTGGCAATGTGTTCCAGAGCCTCGCTGTTTGTTGGATGAACGAGTCTTTGGGAAGAGATGTTCTGCAGGCCTCCAAAGTGACCACCAAGGGGTGCGGAGCCTCAACCCGACGGGGACTGCCAAGGGTGAAACAATTGTTGATATTTCAGCAGAGCATCGTCCGTGAAAATATCTATAAAATAGAGTCAGATCGCCAACTTCTCTACGGTGTTCCAGAGAAGTGAGTGAGTTTGGGGTATGTATGTGTGCTGCACTCCAAATATGGGAACACTGGGAGAGAAATAGGAAATAGCTCCTGGCCCAAAACAGGAAATCAAGCTTTTGGGATGCACTTTTAGCAATTGATCTCACGTGATTTTCCCAAAAAAGGATATTGCTAATAGTAAAACCAAGCATCAAAATGGATGTCTTCAAAGGTATGGTTACTCCTGCCAAGCTCATGTTGGGCACAGTGGGATCGGCTTTTCTAGAGAAAAGGCATGCTTGTGTTTTGTTTGCATTGAAATCTACCAAGTTATTGGATCTCCATTCGAGAATTGTTGCAAAGCCCATATATATGTTGTAAACATTTCTCCTTCGTTCGTTCCTGATTTGCCTGGTTGGTATTGGAGACCTGGAAGAGAAGGCGGTATGGAGGGTGCTATCATCCGCGAAGCTGTATACTGGACCTGAAGTTGCTTCCAGCAAATCGTTGATATGGAGAAGAAATAGTGTTGGTGCTAGAATTGATCCTTGCGGAACACCAGCATTTATGATAAGAGAGTCTGATGAAACTCCGTCGACATTACATGGAGAGACCTGTTTTGGAGAAAACTAGCTTGCAGAGAACATAGCTAGGAAGGCAAGCCATAAGATGGAAGCTTGGCGAGGAGTCCGTGGTGCCAGACTCGTAGCCGTTCTCCACTTGAATTGGACTTCTGACCATGCACATGTCAGGTCACCTACAAGAATCTGGAACAACCCTCAAATAGTTCATGAGTTCATCCCCAGCTTGGCGAAAGTTCGCTGTCACCAACTATACGTATAGTGATGTTAATCCGCTTCAGGTCGGATATAGATGTAGGCCACTGATTTTCATTCCTGATGTGTTCGTAGCCGTTCCGCTGTGGAGCGAATATATTTGGGGCTAGGGAAAATGTCTAGGGTGGAATGAAACATTAGAAACTCTCTTATAAAGAAAAAACAATCACGAACAAACAAAGAGAGAAGAAAAAATATAGGAGAAAATCATCTCATATTATGAAATGATGAACAAATCAAAACAAGAGAAAATGGAATGAAATAATCAATAAAATCAAAGTAACACCGCTCAGTAGACAAATCATTATGTTCTTGGTAAATACGCCCTGACGCTTCATATACAGAGAAGTGCATGAAAAACGACCAGTGCTGGAACTCCTCAATCATTCGAGAAAGGATTCAAAAAATTGGTGGGTAACAAATATACCAAATTGCTCATTGAAACAAAACCAAATTCGTTGAATCACTTCTGGTTTCACCGGAAACGACCTCAACTTCTGATCTTGAATCATAGGGTTATTTCATATTCGCGTTTGAAATTTCCATATCCTCAAATGATGTGACTTCGAATCATCGAAACTTCATTCTTTGTCACACTCATTGAGCAAGAGGAAACTCAGAACCCGAACACAAATTATTTTGTCAATTGATGAGCAATTTGGTATAGGTACTTGCTACCACCAAGTCTCGAAATCTGATCACGAATGATTGATACTTCTCTATGATGTCAATATTGCACAGACAAAGTCAACCAAAATTCACGCTGATATATATTTTCGTCAAAAAATCAACCCGAATTCATAATGAACACTTGATCAAATCCAGCCACTTGTTATACTCATCGTTCGCCACAAGATTCGAGAGATTTCCCGTGTGAATGTGAGTGCTTGAGGTCGACGAAAAAATTTGATATGCACCTCGGCGAAAATCTGTCTATTGTCTCGCCTCATTGCTAGCCTCAGCTAGAGCCTCGGCTATCAATTTGCAGACTCGACTGTAATAGACAGTTTTTGGTTCTTGGTACATAAATTACTATTTCTTCATTCATGTAGGTTTGTTTGCGACTACACCTTTTCTATCTTATGTCATTCATTAGCATACTGATCCTCCTCATCTTGGACACAGTTTATACAATTATACATATTCATCATTTCTTGCAGGATTTTGACAACTATTTGCCGAAATATGACGATTTCCCCAATTTCGATTTTTCATCAAATGATTTAGAAGATGAAATAATATCATTGAATGATTCCAACAAGGAAAATGACAATGTCAAAGTGAGTACAGTATTGTGAAATTTTGAGATTATGTAAGACAGTATTTCATTAGTTGATAGTATTATCAAACTGTTTTCGCTTTTTCCCATTCAGTTGACTACAGAGGTCAAAACACGCTTTCTTCTGGTCTGTAATCAGGTCCTTGATCAATTGCATATGATATATGAAGAAAAAAAACATAAGGTGTGAAAAAAGTTCAAGCCAGTGTGGGAATGTGGTGTGAGTCTAATAAGCTCCATTCCGCAAGGATTTGTTTCGGGAACTGTCACATTTTTTACCATTAACTTGAAAGAAGTCAAATAAGGACACAGAGTGGCCACATAGAATCCTGCTGAAAAATATCTGCACAGACGGAAACCCCCTCTAATCAACTCAATATGTGTTCCCAGAAACCTTCACCTAGTGGTATGAGTGCGTCGGAGTTCTATAATATCTAGAAACTTCATTCAGGAACAATGGAAATGAGACAACAAGGTTTATATCTAGAAATTGCCGCACATACAGGGCGCACTGAAAAAAATCTAGAGGGTCGAGTTCATTTTTTTTAAATGGAATGCGCTGTATATTAGCACATTCTTTGGAGCATCCCTGTGACCTCCATCCATCCCTATGATATCGTTGGCAATATCCCGATCATGGCAAAGTTATGCGGTTTTTGTCGAAATAATGTCATCAGAAGATGCATACCGAAAAAATCACTGTCGTCACAATAATGAAATTTTGAGAGGCAATATACTCAAAATCATTCTATGAAAAGATGCGTGACAGTTCTGGATTTATGTCCCCAAAACATACAGGGGGGCTGAAAATGAATTTTCATTTCATCACTATTCGAAGTGATTATTCTCGAGTTTTTAAAACGAAACACCCCATATCCATATTGATATTCGAAACAATTTCTGATTAATTGAACTTTGAAATCTTACGTTGGTCATTCTCATCGATACATATTTCCATCTGTTATCAAAACATGAAGAGGTCGATCAGTAATTGAGTAAATATTTATTTTTATTGGAAGAACTATTACCAGAAACGAAGCAAACAGAAATAATAGATGATCATCTCCATAGTTATTGAGTGAAGAAGGACAATATATTCATTTCTCAATTATTATCCTGGTTTTCTTTTCATTGTGTCATGAAATCATATGGGATATTCGAGGAACGGAAATCTTGTAATTTTTACTTCGTGAAAAACTATCATATGAACTTTTTCTGTTCAGTCTGCGTTGATTCTGGTATCGATAGTTTCAATGAAAGAATGGTTCACTAAATTTCTGATTGACTTCTGGATGTTTCAATAACAGATAAGAATATGACTGGGAAGAATGTTTTCGAAATCACTTCGGAATGTTCTAATTCGAAAAAACATTGTATCAGCCACCCAGTATAATTTGGGGGTAATAAGGTTAATCATAAATATCACCCATCTTTTTGTCATGAATATTTTTTCTTCAATCTCAAAATAATTGTGACCACAGTGATTTAATCGGCATGCATCTGCAGATGACATTATTTCGACAAATACTTCGATGTGATCGAGATATATAGTTAACTATATTATAGACGTGGATGGAGGTCACAGGGATGCTTCTGGAAATCTGCTAAAATACATGATATTCCTTTTAAAAAAAAATTCAACCCTCTAGCCTCTTCTTGGTACGCCCTGTATATGAGGCGATTATTTCAAGATAAAGACTTTGTTTCATTCACATTCTTTTTTGAATAAAGTTTATAGCTATCATAGAACTCGAGCAATAGAGTTCCGACGCACTGATGCCCCACCCTGTATTAATCTCTTTGAATGTTGCCAATGTTTTTCTATCATTCTTTATCTCTTGGAGTGCACGAAAAGAAATTTTTATAATCTTCGTGGAACATCGTCCGTACCTAGGGAAGACAGGGAGAGGAGGTAGGTGTTGGAATTTTTTTGATGGTTTCTCAATATTGCTGAGTACCAAACATTCATCCATCGCCGTGTGATTGTGTAACATAATCTTCTGTTAATAATAATGAGACAGAAATCCTCGTGGAAATTGAGATAAATGCCAAAAATAATATTGAACATGATTACAGAGTTCCAGGATTACCAAACCTATTTGAAATGCAGAAATATTTGCCAGAAACCAGAGATCTTCCGTCAAATTCTATCACAATTTGCAATGGACCATGAGAAATGAAACAAAATGAATAATGCAATGCCAATATTCTTTATAGAAAAATGAATCAATCCATGGGTATACATAATGCGGAAACATAATATCCATATAACTATAGTTTTTTGTTTCTCTTTCGTATTGTACACAACAATGTTTGCTTCATCAAATTTTCTATTCGATTTTTGTACCAATAACAGTCAAATTCTATGTCATATGCTTCCAGTATGGATATTAGTTATTAGTTATTATCCATCTCTGGATATGTTGAGAAAAATTACTGATATTTGTGTCAAACAGAGGTAATATATTGTTCCGTCTGTAATTATAGCAAATGAAACAAAGCTCTTTATCAGTTGTTGAACATTAGGTTCACCGTTCAATGGATTAGAAAATTATATTTAATTATGTTAATTGTATATTTCATCACTTCACGCTCACATATCCTATATCCGGAATATTGATTTTTTTTATGAATTGGCGTACTCAGTAAAAATGAACTACGAAGGTTGTATTATTCCCATGAAGATAAAACAACTGTTATACTGATTTGAATTGCTCAATTCTATGAAAAAAAGTATATCTCGCGGTTTCAGTAACAGACAACAATAATTATTCAAGTCATGGACGGTTTGCATGATAAGTGAAATGAATAAAAATTAAATAATGAACTGAGTACTATATAAAAAAAAACATAGTGTTATTCTTAGAATACCCGACTCTAGAAATAGGTACATACAATATATAGACTATATAGACTAGTTTTTTCTATATTATGATCTTCCTAGCGGTTTCTTCGAATGATTATTTGTTGAATGTTTCCAGAATTTAGGAAGTCATCGAAATGGAATATTGAATCAGACAAAATACCTACCACGAAAAATTATGGTTTCGGATTTTCCGAGATGTATGCTCTCATTCATATCACATATTATACATCTCTTATTGAACGTTTGAACGTCTGGCAATATTGCAACACATCCGGTCCTGACTTCGCCTATAGGAAACCTATAAGAAACAACTAGGAAAGAGCCAAATACTCAAAGCTGCTCATAGTGGAATGCAATGGTCACGAAGAGACTGGGAATGACTTTGAGTTTGTCTCTCTTTGTGATTGTGATTGTGATTGTTTTTAGATCAATGACATAAGCGCTAGACAAACTTTCAAATTCAATATTATTAGTTCCGATATCAATTTCATCTTGTTTTTCGTTGTCATCTACAATATCTACATACTCAATCCATCTGAGTATTGTTACAATTTCGAGAATATTCTGTGTAATATGAAAAGCATTGATACGCCAGTAAAATATAATGTGAAGGATATATTTAATATTTTATATGTTGTGAAGTGAAGAAATGCATAGTGTATGGTCATTAAATGAAATCACCATGTTATATAGTCTCCTGAAGTGCATCGGAATATAGAATCCATAATATGTTACATGGAGAATATTAGCAGTAAACACACATGATGCGACAATTGAAATTCTATAGTTTGAAATCCTCGAGTGACCAATTTGGTAATATACACATTGTAAGAGTCTATTATTTGTGAGTAAATATTAGATCTTGACCTCTCTCTGATGAAATGCTGCCTGCAAGGAATATTCATGAGGATGTTGTAATGCAATTCTGCGAATAATCTCGATTCGTTGTCCAACATTCGCTGCCATCCATCAGTATTATCAGACGAGAAATAGTTATTCATCATACAAGGAAAAAAAGTTATATATAGATACACTAGGTACAAAAATAACAAGTTTTTTCAAAGTTACATTTATTTTGGAAGCACGACAATCAAAATTGTAAAAAAATATAATGTGATCTTTTTTTTCAATCTTGTGTTGTCAGAGAAGTATCTAATCTGTAGAATGTCGCAATTTATAGAGTTTGCGAGTGGAGGAATTGGTAAAACCATCAACAATATTGTGATTTACGGTTTTATCAAATTGTCTTACCTAATTGCCCTCGAGCCTTCTTGGGTAGGGTCGAAGTGATGAACTTAGCGTATTTTTTTTCGTATATATTACCAGACAACGAAGAGTTCATTGGAAAAAATGCTCTCATGTCAGCCATTTCCCATTATACCAAAGGAGGAAAGATTTGAATTTCGTGCAAGATAAAGAATAGAAATCTTTCCTTCTTTGGTATATATTCACGTGCACACAGCCCAGCAACCCTCACATTTCCCATCATGACAGTAAAAAAGTTAGCCCTGAATTCTCCTGTGTCAAAACGGAACCTGATATTTGAAAGCATGACTAACTAAATTAGCCCTGAAAACTCCAGTGTCAAAACTGAACCTGACACTTGAAAGTATGCTCACTAAGTTTGTGCATTGATTTTTCATGCCGTTTATGTCGATAATGTATCTCAAACTTGCGTTGTCATAAAACCTACCCTATATGTGGAAAGTCGTGATTTGGAAAGTCTTGGAGTAGAGAAACTGAAATAGAACCATATATCAACAACAATATGTGCCTCGCAATTCTGAGAATTCATCTTTTCTAGTCGGAGTAGTTATAAACATAACATTTATCTATTAGTCGGAATTTCCTGCCTTCAGGCAATTCAACTCTGAAACTGCCAGAAAAAAATTACCCGTTCTAGGGACTCGTGAAATATTCTGAAACATTTTGTTTTGTTGAACTACCACGTAATAGTATCCTGATCAAAATGTTAAGTTTAATTGGAAAAGAAAGCTTTCGTGCATGTTATTATGATTCATAATATAACAAGACCTAATATTTTGCCGGCTACAAATTGTTGTCTGTGTATGATATAGGTACGAGCTGCTTATTGTTGTCTAGCAATAGGACGAGACATCTTCATTCTGCATACAAAACACAACTCTTAGTTGACAATATCTTCGATAGAATCTACAATCACTCAATTACATTTCACATTATCAAAATAATGGGTAAAAATCTGAAGATTCAATGTAGGATGAAATTTCATGCAAATGCAAAAGGAAAGAAATATTCAATTATTTCGATGAGAGAGAGAAAACACTAAAATTCGATCAAATATGCTGAATAATAATAACACACTTTCCGAAATATATCTTATGTTTCCTGAATCACGAGTTCATATCGTTCTCATTCAGACGGTCTTTCATCGATAGAATGGGCATTATGTAATTCATTAAAATTTGGATTAGTATGTAATGAGTGCATACGTTAGGTCAAATACTTGGAATATCAGTGAACGTACTTTTATGCACGATAAACCTTCTTCAGAGTAACAAACCACTGTTGACAGATTGGGAAAACCCATCTCATGCGAATCCATTTGCAGAACACCACTATATTTCCGAGCATTATGAAAAATGCCACGACTGATTCACCACCTGCGAATATAACAGACTCCGCCAAATTCAACAATGGAACAAGTATCGAAGATGTGGAACTTGTGTTCAACTTCACAACTATCACAAATTCCTCCAACAGATTACCAAGGCAAGAACTGAATGAAACTGAGGATGATCCGGAATTCACAAGTGAAGAAAAACAGTCGCAAGAATCTAGTGAAGAAGAGGATGGCAATATGATAACAGGGCTCATATCTGCATTTCTTGGAGGTCTGAGCAAGGTAATGATGAATGAAGATGAATGAAGAGTTATATTTTCAGTGCTTGACTTCGTCAAAGAGGTCGTGGTTTTGATAATTTCACATTCAGAATGAAAGAATATCACAATGAACACAGGTTGAATCAAAGATATAATCAGCGAATATGAAATTTCTTTGTTGAAAACTGATAAACATTGTTCATTTATGCATAATAGATTCTAAGAGGCAAATATCAATACTTCTTCATAATTGCTCTATAAACTAAATATTTCTGCTCATACAAGATTTCAACTAGAATCTAGTATAAAGGAATTTAATATCTCAATGCTCACACTGGAGAAGAAGGAATTCATCTGAATTTGCGACCTGTCTGAACTAAAATCACAGAACATGTACGAATCATGTATATTAATTCTGAAAAAGATTTCATCAATAGCAATTCTGTATCTCCTAATCACATATATAGTCAACGAAAAACATCCCTCCGATCCAAATTTGAACCTTAAATTCTTACACTTTTGTCTTAAAAGAAGAAAACCCCACTCACTTGAAAATTTTGAAATTCATAAGGCCTTTAAGTTTCCCGAGAAAATGACTTGTATCAATGAACAGACTCATTTCGACTGTTCTAAGCTTTTTAATTGTCTTACATATTTATCAACACTTAAAAATATAAATTATTCAATTCCATCTGATAGGACTGATTCAATACCTAAAGTTGACCAAAAGTTTCATGAACCATAATTTTGTTATTGCTCCCATCTCGATATCATTATACTCTCCCCATCTCTAGTCTATTTGATGTTCCACGTCACCTCTGCCACTTCATGTCAAAGTCATTCAATTCGTTTGTTGTTTGATTTTTGACATTTCATTCCTCTTGTCTTGAGTTCGGCATGAACAGATAATACTGTTGTAGATTTTTATCTGAATACTACCTAACATGATATTTAAAGTTCCTTAACAAAGGGGTTCCGCAATAATTGCGGTCCCCATTCAACTTTTTGATGATTTTTCTTAAACATTTTTCAATAATATAAATATGTAAACATAACTTTTTTCCTCCAGAACAGGTGAGTTTTTTAGACCTATCGTTGTTGAGGGGTTTGTCTGACATTGTTCTTTGTTTTTCTCTCACTTTAGTAGGTACTCCTATGTAACAATAACGCTGATGATGAAGCTTTGAAGCTTCGGAACATGTCCCTGTAAGATTGCTTACAATAAAGTATAGCTTTGGTGGAGTTGACTGTGAGAATTTTGTCCTGTCCTATTGCCTACACTCCACTGTAAGATGGATCGCCTCAGATGTCAGATGTTATGGTTGGAAGCGATTTATTGCTCTGATAGTCCTGAAATTTTAGTAATGAATCTCAGTAACTGACAAGTAAAATCAACTTCTATAGTGAAAATATAGAGCGTCATATTCAACTAAACTCATCAAGTCTCATTTGAACTTGAAACTATAAAGACATTGGCTTTCAGATAACAAATTCGTTATTTAATGTTTCTGACATATTAGTGATAAAAACGAGTTATACCTTAGTGTCAAATTATATTTGACATCTACGCACAATGGGTCGAATAGTTCATCTTTTCAACACATTAGAAGCAACCACAAGCGCCTGCAGAAGGGTGCAAGGGGGTGCACTTGCACAAGCCTGGCGGGACAGATGAAACACATATGAGATATAAGGAATTGTTTCCAATTATTGTTTGAATAAAAACTTGAAGGTTCTCGGTTACTCTCCAAATTTGTTTAAAAAGTGTTTAAAAGTGTTTTTAACCGCCAGCTTAGTTGCAAAGCAACCCTCGAAAGTCAGAGACTTGTGTGAGTTAAGAAGACGGGGACCTTAGCTTTTTAAGTGTCATCCGAAGCACTACTCGGCTGGTAACCGTGGACAGTCCAAAGGATTGATATCTAGGTACCAAGAATGTTGGGTTGGCCACCTATCTCCTCCCGCCCAACGAAACTACCGAAAATTAATTCAGTGCTCGCGCCGGGGATCGAACCCGGACCGCCTGGGCAACAGCCAGCGACTCTACGCTCACGGCCACCAGCCCAGCTAAGTTTATAAGTTGACAAAACACACATTTTCAATAATTTTTTTCATCACATTCATTTCATTAATTCATTCATTAGTTCAGTCAATAGTATACAGGATGCACCTTTCTGGAAGTGATCCTGGCGGCACCCATGAGAGCAAATCCAATTTATGAAATTTTCTTACCGAATCTCCCACGCTGCAGAATCAATTTCCGATAATTTTTTTTTCTCGGTATTACTCATGTTTTTGTTGATGAAAAATTATTCCGACTCTTGTACTCAATCACAATGATTGTTATATCTTGATTGGTATTATTTCCAACATCAGCAATAAGTTTTTCGTGATGCGGTTCACTAAGTTGCATGTAATCTGCTATTTATGCGTGCACAGCGTTATTACTTATATTTGACGTTTTACTGTCACATTAACATCGAGAACACCGAACTTGACAGGCCAATCAGGGTCAAGAGTCAAGTTTGGTGTTATCGATAAGCCGAACTTGACTTGAGCTCCTGATTGATTCATTTGATAACGGCGTGAAATTGTCAAGGACATCCTCTATACCTCTCTTGATTAGATAATAACCATTTTGATATACTTTGTCATATCGTTTGAATGTTATGAATAACAATATATGGAAAGGATTCTGCCATTATAGAAAAAATGAACTGGTATCCAACACCAATGGAATCAGGCTGTTAGCAACAGGTACCTAACTGGAACTGTCTTCAAATTACATTGAAAGTAGCTTCCTAATAACACTTAACACACTTAAGGCATAAAAAAACTGCCTTGGCGGGTATAGTTTGTTGCTATTCAACGTTCCAAGCAATTATTTGAATCAAATTGATTATCAACATTGACAATGACACTGGATTATTTGGACTTTTGGAATTGTAACAAATTTGGAGAAAAAATTATATGTCACATGGCAGAAACGCATGCACAAGAACAATAACAAATTGTTTCAAACGGCATAGACAGTGGCTTTTCTATGACACTCAACAGGCAACAAAGGTGTATTTTCTCTGCCTGAACAAAAAAAGTTTGTTGCTATGCAACGTTCCAATTAGTTTGAATGAAATTGGTAATCAAAAGTAACCCTGACTTTGAGTGAGAACACAAAATGATGGAGTTTTCAGTGAAGACATTGGAAAATGAAAATTATAACATTTGGAAGCAGAATCATATGTTTCACATAGCAGCAAATGTAGATTTACTGCCTTGGCTGAATTCCAAGCTGAACTGTCAATCTACTACTTCGCTGCCGCAAACAAATAACTAATTTTGTGCTATATCGCAATAATTAATGTTTTATAAATAACAGGGTCATGTTCAACACATAACTATACTCAACTTTGGTCAACACTTGAGTAGTCTGATATTCAGTATTGTTGTTCTAAATAATTGATTTTTTCGTCATAGCCAGATGGTGGGATAGACTTGGACGCTATTGTAGGATTACTTGGCAGCCTAAGTACGGTGAGATGGAATGAATCATAATGTTCAAATGTTTCATATCTAATTCTGTTATCAGCAAAATCCAGATGGCACTTATGACTTCCAAGGGCTTACTGAACTATTGAGGGGGCTAATCGGGGTAAGTTATCTAAGGACTATTGAGACAGTGGCAGATAGATCTGTAGATGAATGTTTTGATTATATTTCCATTACTTTCAATCATGAACAGGGTCCTGTCGATTTCATGGGGATAGTATATTGCTATGTTGCGGAATGGCATATTGAACAGGTCTAATTTGATCGACTTTCTATTTATCACTGTCTGGGAATATAACAATACTGCCCCAATGAAATTGGCAGGACTCTAGTATAATCTCCGAACAACAAGAGGGATTCGGAAATAAATGTGAAGATATATAGGATGAAGTTGTTAATAGCAACCCCAATCATCTCTTAAGGAAGTGTGTTCTCAACAGGGTGGTGGAGATGAAGGTGGTGGATCTGATATCGGAGCTTTTGTAGGAGGACTTCTTGGGGCTGTTATAAAAGGAGTAGCAAATCCACCAGGACCAGTAAGTTTTTCTTCATATTTTGTGTTTTATATTCGAATTAGAGTTATCTTGAAAGTACGATCACCCGTGAGAGCATTCGCTAGGGTTGCCAGACGTGGCTAAAAGATCAGTACAAAACAGAATCATGAATACCTATTTGCGATTGATGTGAACTCTTCTATAAATCATCAGACGCAAAATAATGTTGCCTATGCGAATTTGAGGATATGTGACTGGTTAAAGTTGGCGCTCAATGAAGAATGTCAGGATATTCACTCTTCGAATTTTCCACGAAACTCGATTACAAGCTTCAATAATTCATAAAGGACCTCGCACTTTAAGTGCGTTAAATGGTTCCCGGTGAAATTTTCTGAATTCTCAGTATGTTGTAGAATTCGATGAACTGATTAAACCTGCAGAATCGTAAAGTTCTTTGATGAACAGACTCTGATGTCAAAGATGCAGATCGATAATTTTTATTTATTTACAGAATGAAAAATAAAAACATTGAAGTGATGTCTGAGAATTCGATGTAATAATGGATTATCAAATACAAAATTCATGCATTCAATGAACTATTCTCATTCCATCATGAATCATAATCCACACATTTCATACAGGGAGATTTGAAATTTTGGCGACACATATGAACGATTCATGCATACACATCCTGTATATTGAAGTCAATTGTTATCGTCCAAAGATAGCTTAATTCCATTGGGATATATAAGGTGATCATGAAGATTTTCGATGATGAGAATGACATTAAATCGTGTTCTTTTGAATCACCCTATAATTCATGTTCAAGTTAATTGTTATCATCCAAAGATAGCTTAATTCCATTGGGATATATAGGGTGATCATGAAGATTTTCGATGATGAGAATGACATTAAATCGTGTTCTTTTGAATCACCCTGTTATTCATGTTCAAGTTGGTGAAATTCCATAATTACTTTCTGATATATTGGTGATGATTCGCTCCTCAAAACTGTCTTGAAAATTCAGTTTCCTAGCATAACTGGTTCCATAGTTATTAATCTAGGAACTTACCATTCGCATGAACAATTGGAGAGACTTACACTTACATTCGCATAGTAGCCGACATTTTTCATAAATTAATAGTGAAACGTGAGAATGTGGAGACGAATAAAACTGTAGTTCTTATCTACATGGTGAAGATTGAAAATAACAAAAGCAAATATATAAATGTCATAATATTGATATAATGTACAGAAAGTTAGGTGAATTTTGTTCGTATAAGCTCTGCTAAAATGAAAAAGAACTTTATCTAGGAGGAGGGAGAGTGACTCGTTCTTTCACGCATTTATTTCTGATAAGGAAATGTTTAATCCTGGAATCTACAGATTTTTTGACATTTGTTTTCCATTCAGAATCAGGCGTTTCCATCATTTTCTAATTTGTTTGCTATCAGTGATTATCAACATCAATAGATTCATATTCATTTCACTTTCCAATGATGAAATTCGATACGTATAGCGACAATAAATATAAAGAGGTGTTGTATGGAACATGATGACGAATTTTTTTGAATATATGGTCTCAGAATACTACATTTTTGAACTATTATTGAACGTCCGGCAACATTGCAAAATTCAATGATAGGTGTTGCCGGTGCTTTGGACTCCGCCAAAATCGAACGCTCTGTATATCATATTGATATTATATCAAATTCATATATCTGCTATTATTATTTCTAATATCCGTCTCCACATTCATAGGAACATGTAAGTGAACAAGTCTCTTCAACTCTTCATGCAAATGGAACGTTCCTAAATCAATTACTATGACACCAGTCATGATGAGATACTGAATTTTCGAGATATTGTCGAGGAGCAAACCACAAATATATTGAAAAATGATTAGGGAATCTTACCGAGCTGATCATGAATAACAGGGTGAATAGAAAAATCATCATTCATCATCGAATATCTTCATGATCACCCTATGTATCCCAACGAAATTATGTTCATACGGTATCAACTATCTTTATAGAATGAGAATGCACTTGAATATACAGGATGTGTTGGAATAAATCGGTCATATGTGGCATCAATTTTTGAATCACCCTGTATGAAATGGATGAATTGTGCCTTAATAATTTCATCGATATTATATTATCACATCGAATTTTCAGATATTACTAAGATGTTTTTATGTTCCACTCTGTCATAAATAACATAATCTGAATTCTGAACCAACTGATTTACATTGAGTAATGAAGGTACGTTAATAATATGAACGGAGAAAATTGCACTTGGCATCTTGGAATTTCGAGAAAATAATTGAATTAAAATTACCGATTAGTAACTTTAACGCCCTGTATTTCAGAACCATCAATGACCTTTACGATTCTGCAGGTTCAATCACTTCATCGCAAACTACAACATCCTGAAAATTCAGAGAATTTCACCGAGAACCATTTCACGTAATACAAATGCGGGTTCCTGTGGAAAAAAAATGATGGAAATATACCTATGTATATTTCAGTAAATGGCTCAACAATCTTTTTGTTTCTTTTTTGCACTCTACTCATGAATCTTACCAATCCTAACGAGAAGCTACCGGGATATTGGACTTCAGATGTTTGTAGTTATTTTGTCAAGGAATAATTTTTTTGCATAAATATCTCGTTGTTTTAGAAGGGAGCCGGCATTTTAACTGGGAAGATCTTCACAGGACTACTTCCCGCACTGAGTGGACCGGTAAGAATCCTAATATGAAAAAATGTCCCCATAGATTTTATTATTTACTCACGCATGTAGTTCTTATAGATAACTTAGCGTATAAAGACGGTGAGGAGATGCGAATATCTGATGAAAGAAAGGAGATGCTCAACACTGATGACAAAAATCAAACAGTCAATAATGTTTCAAGAACAAGAAAATGTCTAGTATAGTTCACGATGGAGGGTGTAGTCGATCTTGTTCTCGGAACTAAAAACTCCTCCGAAGAGCATCAACATCGAGCTCATGAAATACCTGGAACATTCAGGTATTATCAACGATAGCCAATATGGCTTCCGTCATCAGAGATCAACTGGTGACCTGCTCGCTTACGTCTTTCATATATAGCAGCAATCTATTGGAAAATATGGTGAAACCTTAGCCGTAGCACTTGATATCTTTAAGGCATTCGTTCGAGTCTGGCACCACGGACTCCTCGCCAAGCTTCCATCTTATGACTTGCCTCCCCAGCTATGTTTTCTGCTAGCTAGTTTTCTCCCAAACAGGTCTCTTCATGAAGTGGTTGACGGAGTTTCATCTTACTCTCTTATCACAAATGCTGGTGTTCCGCAAGGATCAATTCTAGCACCAACACTATTTTTATTCCATATCAACAATGTGGTGGAAGCAGCTCCATGTCCAGTATACTGCTTCGCGGATGATACTACCCTCCATACCGCCTACTCTTCCAGGGCTCCAATACCAGCCAGGCAAATCAGAAACAAACGAGGGGGTAATGTTGACAACATAAATATGGACTTGGCAACAATTCTCGAATGGGGATCCATTAACTTGATAGATTTCAATGCAAACAAAACACAAGCATGCATTTTCTCTAGAAAAGCCGATTTCATTGTGCCCAACATGAGCTCTTCAGGAGTAACCATATTCCTTTGAAGACATCCATTTCGATGCTTGGTATTACTATCAGCAATAATCTTTGTCGGAAAAATCGTGTGAGATCTATTGCCAAAAGTGCATCCCAGAAACTTGGTGTTCTGTTCCGGGCCAGGACCTATTTCACATCCAGTCAGCTGCTTATGATCTATAAGGCACAGGTCCGACCTGTCCTGGAATTCTGTTCCCATATTTGGGGTGCAGCACCCAAACATACCCTGAAACTGTTGGATTGTGTTCAAAAAAGGGCAATTCGTCTCGTGGGTGATGTCTCACTTACAAACTCACTCACTTCTCTGGAACACCGTAGAAAAGTTGGCGATCTGGCTCTATTTTATAGATATTTTCATGGACGATGCTCTTCTGTTCTGTTCCTCCTGTTGCAGTCCTCGCGAGATTAACCCATCGAGTTGAGGCTTCTCACCCCTTTGTGGTCACTTTGGAGACCTGCAGAAAATCCCTTTCCAAAGACTCGTTCATCCAACGAACAGCGAGGCTCTGGAACACATTGCCAACGGAGGTGTTCTCCAAGGCATATAATCTCCAGAAATTTAGGAAGAACACCAATTCCGACCTTATTTCCCTTGGGTCTCACGATGTTCTCTGAACATTACAGGATATCCCTCTTCGTGGCGTACCGATGTATATACGTCACTGCAAGAATTTTAGACAAGCAGAGATTTTCTTGAAACAATATAAATTGAGATTTATGTCACTTGTAGTTGCGGTTTTCTTGAATGAAGAAATATACCTACTGCATATGTTGAGCGAATTCATATCGAAAAATTCCAAGGAACGAAGCAAGCAAGCCAAGGCATTTGGGACAAGTGTATATTGCTTCATTCAGATGAAAAATCCTTGTAAGAAGCAATTCAATTTCAAGTAAATGGATTTTATTTCGATCGAAGAAATCCTTTTATTCTGTGTAGTCACTATTTATCAATCTTAGGGGTAGCTGAGAGTTGGAGACTATATATTATATTAACAATATTTATTATACAAGATGGGGCAATAGTCCAATAGTGCGTCAATATAGCTAGAGGAATTATTCAAAAAGTGATGTGAATAAGACAGTGAGGTCTATACACAGGAATTATCACCGCATATACAGGGCGCACCTAGAATATCCAGAGTGTTCATGACAATGTTTTCAAATGGAATGCCCTGTATATTACTACAGTTTCTGAAGTATTCCTTTCACCTCCATTCACCCCATTGAAATCATTGACTATATCCCAATCACATCAAAGTTATGAATATTTTGTCGAAAATATTTCATCTGCAGATGCATACCAAAAAAATCTCTGTCGTCGCAATTATAAACTTCAAGACAAAATAATCAAATAACCATTTGATGGAATGAGACGTGATGTTTCTCGAAAATTGTCATGCCGCCAATTCATACAGGGTGTGGCTGTAAATTACTTTTCAATTCGGAACTTTTCGATGTGATGTTTCTCGAGTTTTTCAAATGGAATACTCCAATTTATTTTCAATTATCATACTTTGTGGAATAAATATATTGAATACGAGTATGACATTGATTTTTTATACTATTTACTGATAAGTTTTGTGAGTTCTATCTCATGTTATAATTTTGTTTTTACATTTCAAGGTCGATACTGATACGATGAATAGTACAAAACAAGATGGACTGGAATCTGGAAGCTTCCTCTCAGGTTTGCTCAAACCTATTTTAGCTAGTTCTGGAGGACAAGACGGAGTGAGTTCTCAGATAATCAAACATGTTTTGCTATAAAACTTACGTATCTGTTAACTCCACTTACCAAATCAAAACCACTAATGTCATATTAGTGATGGATCCAAGAGACATTTCAATAAAATTATATCGATGGCAGTGACTATTTCACTCATCACATAATCTGACCAATCACAAGCCAGAGAAAACGTGTGCTTATCGCTTAAGCATTAGCTGTCTTTCAATTCTGTTTGACTGATTGATCAGCGCAGATGTTTTCAACGATGTAACCATGGATAGCGAAGCAAAGTTTGTCAGTTTGGCATCAAATAATTATGACTATACTATATTAATGAATCATTCATTTATAATGAATGCTTTTTATGCCCAGTGAGAGTGAAATAGTCCAGCAAAATGCCACTCTGTTCTCAATATATTCTTGAAATTCTGTCTCTCATTGTCAACCCAATTATGTTACCGTACAGCAATAACACTCGTCCTACGACGGACTCGTGGTGTTGCTTGGCAACACAATTTTGTGAACACTGAAGCGACAGAGTTATCTCGAATATTCAAAACATCGTGATATAACTCAAGATAATATGGACGAACCAGATAGGTGCGGGTGTATATGGACCCGGATGTAGGCTATTTGAAACCTTAGGTCACTTCCCGATTCTCTTCCCAGCTGAAATACATGTCATCAACCTATGCGCCCAAAGGTGTCTGAGCGGAGCTCTGAGGGATGCCAACATATATATCTGCTCAGACAGCCAAGCCGCACTGAAAACCCTAAGATCATTTGTTTTCACATCAAAGAGCATGAGGGACTGCTTTGAAGCACTAATGCAACTAGGGATGGACAACAAAGTCACACTCATGTGGGTTTCAGGGCATGAAAGAATCAAAGGAGATAATGCAGCTGATCGCCTTGCAGAGAAAGGTGCAGCATCTAAGCTCTTTTGTTCTGAGCCTTCTGTGGGACAAGCAAATGTCACCTAGAGAGAGATTTCAGGAAATGAAAAGAATTTGAAGAGTCCTCCTACAGAAGAGTTACTCCAGGTCGACTACAAGCAAAAAGGTTCATCAACCATTCGCAGAACCGAGCCAAAGAGCTACCCAGCCTCAGCAAACCAGAGCTAAAGCTCATCACAGGCTTTCTCACAGGAAACTTCCCTCTGAGGTACCACCTTAAAAAAATGGGCCTGGTGGAGCCTGACACTTGCCCACTTTGGAACAATGCGACCGAAACCGCGAAACACATACTTTGCTCATGAAGTAGTCATAAAGACTGAATCACCTAGAACGGCTCTTTCTCACACCTGCTGAGGTGGAAAATTGAACCGTCAGGAAAATTCTAGGCTTCATCAGAAGCCTAGGGTTAGAGGATCAAAAATAGACAAGGGTAATCACAATAGATCTTCTAGGTCGCAGTGATGATCGAGAGGTCTCTCAACCTATACGACCCATCTACAGTCTACAATGAACGAACCAAAGTGAGAGATTTTGGAAATGTCTGCTTATGAAGCTATTGTGATATTCCTAACTTTGGAAAACCTTTTTTTTTTTCACTTTCCTTCACCTCAATGAGATTACACGAAGAAAGCAGCAATCACATCTACTAAATTAAATGATGACTGCAATATTCAACAAACCTCAAAATATCAACAAATGCCATGCCAACAATGAGAAGAAAAATGGAAATAAAATGCTAGGATTAATGAACCGCTTTTCAAAATCAAATTTTCATTATAATAAGATAATTTTTTTGGGAAAAATAAAATCTTGTATGCACCACGAGCGTTACTAGATCCGAACGCATGGAGGATAACATTCACCCAAGGGCCTTTGGGCCGAGGGATGAATGCTGCCCGATGGGTACTTGCACTAGATGCATAAATAACTATTATCTGATGGCAAGTCATAATGACAACGTTATGTCACTCAATTTTGATGACATAAGGAAGCTCATTATGGAACTAAGTACCATAATGAAATTCTATAAGGAAAACATGTAATGGTTTGATCAAAAAAGTTCATTCAAAATGCATAACTATGTACAAAACTATTTATTATAAATGGTAAAAGAACAATTACTACAATTTGTAATATTAATATAATGGCAAAGCACAGCTCACTCACCTACTAATATTTGAAACTACACAATACTTACTCCTTTAAAAATAGTTGTCATTGTGATATGTCGAAAATGCAGTTTTTAATTTTTCGAAAATGTATTGATATAAATGCCATCAGATAAAATTTGGTATGTAATACGAATCATAAACAATCATTATGGCACACGCCGTGTTATCGGACTCGGCTACGCCTCGCCCGATAGCATTCACGACTTGTACCATAATGATCGTCTTTATGATCCTTATTACATAAATAACTATTATGTTCGTGCACTCAAGATATGTGCGTTGATATTTATTTTGTGAAAAATAATATGAATCATTGCTAGTATCTTATGTGATATGGAAATAATGATATCTCTCTCGTATCTAGTGCGATACTCATTTATGAATTGTATTGTTTCCATTGAGTAACTTGTTTGTATTTTTCAGGGCATCAAAGGCAGCATAATTGGATTGATCTCGAATTTGGTGAAATTCTTGATAAGATCAGTTACGAAACTCATTTCAGCATCATCTTCGAAAGGTCATTGATAAGATGAATAGAATCATGTATCTATACTATATTTATGTGATTTTTCTGAAAAGTACCTAGCTGATGCTCACGAACTTCTTACGCAGAAACTCAAAATAATTATTAGATATATGTACAATAGACAACTTCTATTATGTATCCGCTAGTTTCAATTTGATTCCAATAATAAAGGTATTCGAGAAAAATCTTTTCTAAATTTTATAATTTGACACTTAGCGGTAGCCAAGGTCATCATCTTACGTTGCGATGACATAAAAACTATGGAAAAACATGCCTTACTTTCAGTGTGAGCCAGGAGTTAGTAATGTTTTCCCGTATAGTGTTCATGTCCTTGCAACGTCAGATGATGACCTTGGCTACCGCGAATACTGTGCATTAAGATGTTGAGACCCCATTTTTAAATGGCCTTCTGAGTTCTGAAGGAATAGGTTCTTCTCTATCAACCTGTTAACGTTTAAAAATAGCCAGGTATGGACTCAAGCAATCTCCCAGGGCCTGAAATGAAACGATTGTGACTATATTAACATATCTCGATCAAAAACAGTCAGAATTTCAACTTTTCTTGATCATTAAAAAATATTAAAATCATCTCACTTCAATAATAGTGTATGATAATGGTTATTTTATTTTCTTCAATAATCATGAAGAGGATGATAGTACTTATGGTCAACACCCCCATATCAAAGATATCAAATCGTTATTATTTGGATAGATCGCCGAATTCATATATCTGTTTTGGAATCACCGGTATTGATTGACATTGATCGACGTATAGTAGAGTGCCAAACGAACCGTAAGTCGCTTAGATCAAAAGTTGGTGGGAAATCGGAGGTAAAAAGCTGTGACATGGCTAGAATTGTTACCTACCATCTCCAGATCATGGATCCACTTGTCGTCAAAAAATTGTCCTGTGCGTTTGGGGGGTAGGGGGTAATTTATAAAAAAATATGGATTTTTTTTTATTCATGGAAAATATTGATGGGTACTAGAACTTGCACCCTGTCGAATCTTGATTTCGTGTGACGAGTAGAACAAATTATAGAAAATTTTGAAATTCACAAATTACATTACGATATATGAGAAAATCATATTTCAAACGGCTATAACTCGAAACTTGTAAATTTTCGTTAAATTGCTTTTCATATACCTCGCATTATCTCAGTAAATATAACGTTTATCAAAAAAATACTCGAAATAATGTCGATGCGCCTATGTTTCAAGATGCGAATGGTTCTCTGATTTTGAAAATCGAAGCATAAATAAGGAAGATATTGGGAAAATCATAATACAATGCAGGTAGTACGAAGGACGGCGACTCGCCGCTTTCATACCCCGATTCTCCCCGCAACGCCCGCAGCCGTCTAGAACGATCACCGTAAATATGAATTACTGAGTGTTACAGAATAGTACGATCTTGGAATTCACGTGAGAAATGGAATTGATCGCTATTTTCCAAGTTAACAGAAATTTATTTTAACTTGCTTTTTGATTGGAAGTGCCCTCCATTTATTTTATGAATGATTCTATCTCGAAAGTACATTTCTTATCCATCAGAGTACAATGTCAACCATCTCATTTATAAACAAATTGACAAATATTGAAACAAAACATGATGCATATAATATTGCAATAAAAATAAGATATCCATGCGGAAACTTGAAAAAAACATTATTTGATACCTATCGAATTGCGAAGTTGTAAATACACGTAAATACGATACAGTGTCCACAAGAACACCAATATTTTTTTTCGATCATGTCTCTTGATGAATCATTATTCCCAAACCAACGTGTTTCGGTGTGTTTTTCGAATTTCGAATTAGCGAGTATTATACCTTGACATCAGATACTCAACACCTTCGAATCAACTGAATCAACTTTATCGTGTATAAGGCAACTAATTTGAAAAAAGTTTTTTTGGTATCATATCCTTGTAAGCCTTGACATCCATATTTTTGAGTTGTTTATAATCTGGAATATCTCTCATATCTTGATAAATATCTCAAAAAAATTAGTGTATCTGGGTCATATCTGATGCATACAAAGTCAGGGGAGTTAACTTCTGTAATTTCACTTTGTTCTTTATATGTGTATGAATCAGATGAGTTTTTGTCACTTTTGGAATCACAAATTACGACTCATTAGAACGTTTTGATTTATTTGATAATTTCTATTTCCTTGTCGTAGTGCTTTCTGATTCCTTCGATTAATTCATTTTACTTGATATTTCGAGATTTTCTCTTCTCGTTTCTCTGGACGTTTCTGCTCCCGTTCTCAACATGAAAATGCAAAACATTTTTCTTTGGAAGTTGCATTTTCATGTTGAGAACGGGAGCAGATTCGTTGCTGAAACGTCCAAAGAAACGAAGAGAGAAAATCCCAAAAAATCAAGTAAAATGAATGTTTCACCTTCTCGATTAACCTACAGAAAGTAATCTTCGATTGAGATTTTCCTACCAGTTTTGCCACCAAGTTCGCCATATTTTTGATATAAACAGTTGAAAGAATATCCTTTTTCATTAGAAAATCTGCACCATCTATATTAATTTTATCAGATTATCAAATTCTTTGTCATGTGTGGTATGACAACTTTATTCTCACTCAGTGATCCTCTATAATGTTTCCAATTCGATACAAAGCATTGGTTATGATACTTGACTTCCATGGCAATAAACAATGTTGGTAGTCAATACTAGGTCAAAACTTGACTCTTATTTGAACGTTTTCGGTAGAAAATTCTTTTAGACACATCAAAAATACCTTCACATCAATTCCACTATAGAAAGCGTTTTTTATTCCTGACATTATTGTCTCCAGTTTTCAATATTCCTGTGCCAGAAGATCGATTGACCTTTATTTTCATTCAAAATATCATCAATTCTCTGAAGTTCCATATCGGTTGGCCTCGCATAGTTTTTTCCGAGGTTTTTTCTTATATTCATACAACTTTCAAATGTTTTTATCGATAATTCTGTACAACGAAGGAGTTGACCATCTTTTCCACAAATGAAACATTTTCTCGATGATTCTGTACTCTGCTGGAAACGAATCTTCAACTTCAAGACATATTCAAGATCAGTGTCTGAATTGCTAGTACTTTCCATCTTTTATCTAGAGAAACATAATATATTTTATGATAAATTTACAATAATAGATTTCGTTAGCTAATCAATACTTATTTAATTATTGAAACAGAGCACACAGTACCAAATATCGAATAATTAATTCACAATAAGTCACCATTAAATGCAATGGTCAACGCCTCAATGTTGATGTGTATAACGAAAGCGTATGGAACCATGATAGCCGCGGGTATTGCGGGGAGAATAGGGGTACGAATGCGGCGAAACGCGTTCGTCCGTGGTACCTGCATTGCATTATGATTTTATCAATATCTTCCTTATTTATGCTTCGATTTTCAAAATCGAAGAACCATTCGCATCTTGAAACATAGGCGCATCGACATTATCTGAAATATTTTTTTGATAAACGTTCTAGTTACTGAGATAATGCGAGGTATATGAAAAACAATTTAACGAGAATTTACAAGTTTTGAGTTATAGGCGTTTGAAATATGATTCTCTCATATATCGTAATGTAATTAGTAAATTTCAAAATTTTCTATAATTTGTTCTACTTGTCACACGAAATCAAGATTCAACAGGTTGGAAGTTCTGAAACCCATAAATATTTTCCACGAATAAAAAAAAAATTCATATTTTTTTATAAATTACCCCCTACCCCCCAAACGCACAGGACGATTTTTTGACGACAAGTGGATCCATGATCTGGAGATGGTAGGTAACAATTCTAGCCATGTCACAGCTTTTTACCTCCGATTTCCCACGGGGTGAACGATAGGATTCGATTGGCACTCTACTAGTATGTATGCACGTATGTACGAAGCGAATAAGAGTCATCTGTTGCTGAATAGAAAGTTAACGTGTATTGTTACTTCTTCAATCCTTTGTAAATGGCTGCCATCTTGCAACAGTACATTATCATTCAGCACGATTGAAATAGTATTTAACTGTAATGTAAAAGTTGCAATTTCGAAATATTTAGTAGTATCTGAAGGGTTGATGAGAATATATGCTTGAATCATTTCAATAAAATTTATATTCAACCGATAAGTTGTGGAGTATTCAAATGAATATTCGTTGAAACGATATACAGGGTGAAACAAATTCGTGCATGGCTAAGCATAGGGATCTCTGTAACGTTAGGAGATACAGAGTAGGTTAGATTTGGGCAAAGTTGCACTATTTCATGCTCAACACAATGCTGCTTCGAAAATGCTAAAACGCAAACGGGAATAGTTTTGAGCATTTACTATGGAAGAGAACTCAATGTTCAGAATTTTTTTCATCATTCATAAATATTATTCCATTTAATAATAAACAATTGTTTGACTTTCATTTCTGGTTTGGTATAATTGATAATACATCTTGAATAAGAGCAATACAATTATGTAGGGGGTACTTCGCACTGAATAATGTGTCAGACAAAGACAAATTGATACCAAAAACACTGTGTGACAAAGATGAGTATCGCCTTAACTTTTTGAAACAATTCTTCCACTGAAGTGAACAAGTTATGGCAGGAGAAAGAGCGTTCAATAATGAAATCATCATCGACATTCTAAATACTAGCGGAACTTGTACCTTTAGTGTTCTCTTTCTGAATCCGACGCTGGACAAGGCTACATTATACTAGAGATATTTGATATCTGGTGAATCTATGCATAATTTCAGAACGGAAATGAGTGAAGATATTATTTTTATGACATTAGAAAGTGGAACATAAACAAATCGTCGTATTCAATAGATATGAGGATAAGAAAGACAAAATGATATAAATTACTCAAGAATATACATGCAAATAAAAATTTCTCTGCATGCCATTATGAAATATAATACTCGAATTATATAATACTGGTAGGTACATCATTATCAACGATGAATAATTCATTTTAAAATATGGTTTGCAATAATTTGGAACATCAGGTTGAAATATATAATTCAAATAATTATCATTGGTAGAAAAAATGAATTCATGTAAGATTGAAATGA